TAATATGATATATTTTAATTTAAAAATCAACACCGTATGCTCTTACCAATGCCCGGGAGATGCCAATTCACGTAAGTTCCGGTGTCAAAGTCACGCGTATACATGACATGTTCAATACATCCAGGATTGGAGCACTGAGCCCCGTTAAATGTGACGGACCATTTGGCACAAGTATCGTGCATGTGATTCCGTACGTTTACACTCCAAATGACATGGATTCCACTGGAGCTTGACTTTTTATTGTACGTCATAGACTGAAATGAATGTATGAAGATATGACAGATATACAACCAATTCTTTTTATTAAAATTAGGGATAATGTTCTGCTTTCAATTAGTATAAGCTAAGAACCCAGCAATTTCACAGGCCTCTTTAACAACAGCTCAAATATAACTAACCGAACTGCTAGGTACAGGATACTATAACAACTGGCTCCCCGCTAAAGATTACTAGCGTTACACACAAATATTGGAATAGATATATAATTTACTTTTAGTTTTGGTTTGAAAAGTCTATTATTTTGTCCTAGTTGATAGATTTGACCAAGCAAAAGCAATTATTATTATTATTATTATTATTATTATTATTATTAAAAATTGAGCATAAACCGTACCATAAAAGTCTTAAGTGATTCGAGCGTTTTGTATAGACCCATGCACTTGGCCATTTTAGCACACATACGGATTCCATTAATATGCTTTGGTCAAGTGATGTAATGTCATAGATGTATTTACTTAGGGTGTAAGTCTACTGGCTTTTGTTCAGTCATAATTTATTGTCCTGTGGCCATCAAATCACCTTACGATGACATCTCAGAACGGTTTCAACATATATATTGTCAATAGATCTGATACGTGCCTGGATAACTCCCGAGTCGGCATTGTCGTACAAGTTAGCCCAGTAGCCTTGCACGCGGTTATAGAACGGCAAGCGGATGGTGGTTCCATCAGCAGCTAGAACTGGGACACAAAAATGTCGACTAATACAGTACAAGCACAAAGGAAACAATTTTTCGGGATTTTAAATAAATACAAATGGTTTGCAAAGTCAATCTATAAGAAACAAAAGCTTGACTTCAGAACTTATCATGTGACGTCAGCCAGATTAGTTAATGACAAGGCATTTGGGCTTACATTTTTTGTTAGTTTGTTTGTATTTATTCTAGAAAAAAACACTCAAGTCGCTGTGCCTTCGCGAACATTCCCCATAGTTTCACAACTCAGACTTCAAACCCCCAGCTTTTGGTTTTTAACCAACATAAAAAGGACCGATCAAAAAATTACTGATCCAGCTGTTTAATTAAAAAATTTAACAATAAGTATTTGAAAACGTTATCTAGTTGCAGGCGGGGGGAATGTTTTCATGATTGCACAGTTTTCCCTTTCAGAGTTCCAACCTGCACTGGTATCTTGTCCAAGTCTCGTCTCTTCCACTATAAGATAAGTTGTGGTTTTCCAACCTACGAAAAAAAATTCATAATATTAAATAAAATTGTGTCTACTCGCGCACCGGCGTGTCTGTGTGTGTGTTTTGGTTCTCTTTGATCAAGCAGGTTAGGCCTCCTGAACACGTGGGTATTTTACATGTGCTCTCAGAAGTACATGTATATAAATCAGTGTTCCATTCCTCCTCTTTATTATAATACTAGAAGTGCCAAGTAAAAGAGCCATTCTCCTCAACTGCCTACGACGCAAATATATAATATTTTATACACAATGAAAAAAATTAAATGAACAACTGTACCAAAAAGTATGCTATTATAAAATGTTCTCAGAACATTTTACTTATATAACGCATAATCGGGACATACCAGGAAATTTGCTATCAATAGGATGAAGAAGTGACTGTAAAGATGCTATGGCAAAAGAATCTATCATATATGATGAAACCAATCCGTGTATGAGAAGCAAAGCCAACCTGTAAGGACGTACCTGTCTGAGCATCGAAAGGAGGGAGACCAGTGCCAGAACAGGTTCCAACATGCAATGTTATCACAATGGTTCCAGAACCAATCCCTTCACATATCCCATTAACTGAAATGATCCACCGATAACACTTGATATCGTAGTTACATGGTGCTCTGTTTATTCACGTGTTTTACAATTTTTGAATGCAATAACAATACGATAACAGAAACGATTTACTTGCCTTCTTTCACATGTAAAACGGGACTGAGGTTTGGCTGTTATCGTTCAAACAGACAGCAAAGCGTTATCAATTGACACAGAATAATCTATCGCACACCCACATTTATAGCACCTTGGTACAAAATAGCACTTTAAACTTTAAAATGAACCATCACAAGTGCCACCTATCTAACAGACATGAGATATTACGATAGGCCTAAATAAAATAAACAGCGTTGCTTTTTCTGTATAATATAAGACCCCATTTCCAGAGATTAGATCCATCTACTTTAGATCGACCTAACTCCCTGGGGGTTCACGCTAAATAGCTGTCAGCCGAGCGGACACGAAAATTAATTACCCCTTTACAGCTTGTAGTAGGCGGGACGGACATTTAAGCCGGATTATCTGACAGTAATCTAGTGAGACTCCCAGCGGGGATAAATCGATCTAAAAGCTCTGGGAATACAGCCTAAGATGACTTGCGCATCCCAATAATTTAACTTACACGCAAACCCCCGTTTCACCTGAGGCACCTGACCACCATAAACGTACATGACCCACTCTAGGGGCCCAGGGTTGGAACATTCCACACCGTTAAATTTGAAATACCATCGACCACATTTGTTGTTGCCTTCCCCGTACAAATTACCACTCCAGCGAACTCGCAAGGCGGTGTCATCTGCCCGTTTTACATAATGTGACGTCTGAAATAGTTAGCAAACATTTAATATAATCCTTACAAATCGTTCGAGTGATTTTGTGTCATTCACATATTCCATGACTGATCGTTAGATCATAAGGTATGAGAGAGTGATACGGTATACCCTTTCTACAGTAAACTGATTATACTGTATATGTATCGCATTTAGCTTCTGTATAAATTTTATTTTGCAGCTTTTACCAGTTCAGTGCCAATCAATATGGGAATGTGGGTTTGGTTTGCAAAAATCATTAGATCTCTATATCAGTTCTATAATTATCATCTCTTGAAGGCTATATCTATAAACAAGGTAAAAATAACCGTAAAATGTAATCGGCAGAGAAACGCTCCCGAAAGACATTCCGCAAGAACAGGATGCATCATAGGCATAATGAAATAATATTCACGAATCCATGTTGCATGCTCTCAATGTTTTCTACAATGGGCACACTTTTCAATGTTTAAAGAAATGTTCTCATCTGAACACCGTAGATCGTTACAAAATTCAGTTAAAATTGTGACGTAAGACGTACCGAATGAATGTTTTCACCACTAGTCTCTGTGTGTGAAACTGCAGCAAACTGTTGGATATTGAAGGCTGTTTGAGACTTGCATGTGGCTAAAATATTCAATGAGCTTTTTGTAATGTACAATTTCATTGCATGCTGCACAAAAATACTTGTTATATTTGCTAATATTTGAAAACGGTTACTAAAGGCATTTTAAGCGTAATACCAAACAATTGGACAAACAATTGTACGCTACACGTGCGTCTCCGACAAAAGTGCAAGTTAGCACCATTCATCACTGTAGAGTTATTTAACCTATATAAATTCACAAATTTGTGGTCGATACACAGAAAATAAAATTGCCGTATATACATATACCTGATCCGGTGGTTTCCGCCACTTCTGCCATGATAATATATGACCTGGCGTTCCAACCTGAATAGTTGTCGTGAACTGTTCCATCACAGTCTTTGTATTCTAAGGCAATAGTTCTAATCCCCGTGCCGATCCCGTAGCAGATCCCAAAAACTGAAAATATAACGTACATCATATTTCATCAAATTTTCAGTTTTGACCTGCACAAACAATGAATATAACCCACAAAAGCACTTAGAGAGGGAAAACCTCCGTCAAAGCAAGTCAATTCTCATTATTAAAAATTATAATAACTATAATGAAATCGTATATACAGAATAAATTAAGTTATATTTGAGATAGACGTGTTCAGGATAACTGAGGTAATAAGGATGTTCTCATTTTGTCAAGTCTAAATTAAAACTCACACTCGACATGGTGATGGCGATTTCTTCTGTTGGCGTGGTACTCTGCATAGTCAATTGGGGAGGGGTTTGAACACTCAGCGCCATCTATTGTGAAGGTCCAAGACGCACAGCACCCTGCACAGTTGTAAGCTGCTCTCAGCGTTCCACTCCAGAGAAGGTACAAGCCGCTGGCGTCTTTTGTCTTAGTGTAGGATGTGCTCTGAGAGTCAGTAAGGATAAAGATGAAGCCAACACAGGTTTAACACAGGTCGGAAAACGGATGTTGGATCTAATTGTTAGCATTTCCTTAATTAAGACCAATTAAATATGTTATTAGAGTTAAAGAGACGTGAGCTTACAAAGATAACACCAGTGTCATGGGAATTGTAGGCAGTACTTGACCACTGCTGGATATTGTACATCGGCGTCTCATCACAGTCCGTTGATTCTCCTAAAATAAGTGCACTAACATCAGGGTCCCGTAACTCGAAAGCATCGCGTATTGCGAATAACGATATCACACAGAGGCTACAATGTATTATATGGGACGAGTATGGGCGAGTTATGGAATCGAGACGCTTGCGCTCGGTCGCAATGCTCGATACTTTCGAGTTACGGAGTCCAGGTGAAAGGTCGATATTTTCACTGCATATGCTTTATCCCAAAAACTCTTAAAGTAATGAATCCAATAGCTAAATGAACGTAAATGTTTCTGTTATGATTCTAAGGTTATGAACACGTCTTAGGGACACAGTTTAGGTGCTGACTACATCTATCAATGCTCAGAGAACTACTTATAGAAAATGAGATTACAATACATCAGATTTTAAAATTTTAGTTGATTTTTACAATATGTGTTTAATTTTTGCCTTAAACTTGCTCAATTCTCCATTGTTCAGATATGCGTAATGTTAGTAAGTGACAGCATGCAGTGAATAAGAGCGGGGAGTGTTTCGTAGAGTAACTTAAGTTGATTGACATGCTCTTATGGTATTTATACAACTACGCTTAGTGTAAACGGGGAGAAGGCCGCTAGAGATTGCATGAGGTAGGAATAGAGATGAAGGAAGCGGCGCGGGAAATAACTGGACAGTTAATAGCTTCGTCACATATGCATGGTTTCCCTTACTGATTTTAATTCTTGAAAACAAATGATCGTTCCAAAGATATAAGGTATGCAAAGCGTCAAAACAATTTTGGATGCGTTTTTAGATGTTGGTCTCTTTAAACCTAAAACTTAGAGGTTTAATTTTCCTAGGAGTCTTAAAAGCGCTTGATTGTACATGTATGAGCCTTACATGACCATTTTGCTTGATTGAACGATCCCACTGTGAAGAAAAACATTAATCTATCCA